ATATATCTGAAACCTGGTCCTGGCTCTAGCACTTAATGATATTGTTTTGGAATTTTGGGGCAAATTTCTTAAACGTCTTTAAGCATGATAGACTTACCTTTCAACATGGTTCTTCTGAGAACTAGATGAGCTAACGCAGGCAAAGAGTTCTAGCATATAGCAAAGTGTAAGTATGCAAAATAGATTTCAGTTGTTTGTGAAAATAAAATAAATACAACGAATCTAGTGTTGAACACAACTGAATTTCTTTTGTTAAGACAGGATTCACTCCTGTCACCCAGGCTGGAGTGCAATAGCATGATCTTGGCTCATTGTAATCTCTGCCTTCTGGGCTCAAGCGATTATCCCACCCCAGCCTCCCAAGTAGCTGGGATAATAGGTGTGTGTCATCACGCCAGGCTAATTTTCATATCTTTTGTAGAGATGGGGTTTCATCACCATATTGCCCAGGCTGGTCTTCAACTCCTGGGCTCAAAAAATCTGCTCGCCTCGTTGGGATTACAGGTGTAAACCGCTACATCTAGCCAACAACTGGATTTTAATAGGCCTACTCATACCTGCATTTCGCAAGAGATTTATCAACCACACGAGAATACTTGTGAATGCTATTCAAGTGGCTAGGTCTGTTCTTCATATGTTAGGTAATGACTAAAATAATTTTACTATAATATATAAATAAAATTGTGACCCACTATTTTAACATTCTCTTACTTGCTGTGTTTCTGCCTCTGAAGGGAGGTGGACTTGGAGTCCGGCTTAAACTTCTGCTAAATCTTCTCGGCTTTTCAATTCTCTTCTTTCTATCTCTGTAGTAAATCATATTTCATATGTCAAATTATGGCCGAGTCATAACTATTTTGTTAATAATAAATCAATTATATTTACATAGTTCAACAAAAATCGCAACGATACAAAAATATTTACATTTTGAGATGCAAAAAATTTAAACTTCTCTGTTACAGCTGAACTCACTGGAAACAATTGCTTCCAACTCCCTCAACCCTTTTTAAGAGACAGGGTCTCACCATGCTGCCCAGCCTGGCCTCCGGTGATCCTCCTGCCTTAGCCTCCAGAGTACACAGGTCTACAAGCATGCCTCACCGCATCTGGCTGTTTCCAATCTTTTGCAAAGTATCCAATGTTGCAAAAGCTAGCCTTATACATTAGTCATTTTGTGCTCGTGTAGGTCAATACGTACACCACAGGAATCATTCCTACATATTTTCATCTATAGTGAATTTGTAGATATTTTTCAAAAATAAAAATTTATTAACCACTAAAAACTAGATGTCTGGCTGGGTGCGGTGGCTCATGCCTATAATCCTAGAACTTTGGGAGGCTGAGGCGGGCGCATCACTTGAGGTCAGGCGTTCAAGACCAGCCTGGCCAATATGGTGAAACCCCGTCTCCACAAAAACACAAAAATTAGCCATGCATGATGGTGGGTGTCTATAATCCCAGTTACCCGGGAGGCTGAGGCAGGAGAATCGCTTGAACCCAGGAGGCAGAGGTTGTAGTGAGCCAAGATTGTTCCACTGCACTCCAGCCTGGGCGACAGAGTGAGACTCTGTCTCAAAACAAACAAAAAAACTACACGTCAGTGAGCAAAAAAGCACTTAAAAAAAAATTTCTTAATTGGTAAGGTTCAAATTAGTAAACTACTACAAACTAGAACCACTGAGTAAAAATTCATACTGATTTAATAAAGATCAAACAAGTGATAAATCATAAAAACCAAGTTACTCTATTAAGCACAGGTCCCTTTTTAAATGTGTATTTCAATCTTTCATACATTGACCTAAGTTGCAATTAACAAAATAGTATACTACTGTCTTATGAAACAAGCAGAGAATAATGCATTCGTTGAAGAACATTTATTAGTTTTCCTCCTGTGCTCTTTATTGTACACTTCCTATCTCAGCAAAGCCTCCTCCCACCAATCAAGATAATCTAAATTGTGTTCATTTACAAACAAAATCTGAGGTAGTTTGCACAATACAGTGGGTTAAGCACATGGATGAAATTTGCATTTAGATATATCTGAAACCTGGTCCTGGCTCTAGCACTTAATGATATTGTTTTGGAATTTTGGGGCAAATTTCTTAAACGTCTTTAAGCATGATAGACTTACCTTTCAACATGGTTCTTCTGAGAACTAGATGAGCTAACGCAGGCAAAGAGTTCTAGCATATAGCAAAGTGTAAGTATGCAAAATAGATTTCAGTTGTTTGTGAAAATAAAATAAATACAACGAATCTAGTGTTGAACACAACTGAATTTCTTTTGTTAAGACAGGATTCACTCCTGTCACCCAGGCTGGAGTGCAATAGCATGATCTTGGCTCATTGTAATCTCTGCCTTCTGGGCTCAAGCGATTATCCCACCCCAGCCTCCCAAGTAGCTGGGATAATAGGTGTGTGTCATCACGCCAGGCTAATTTTCATATCTTTTGTAGAGATGGGGTTTCATCACCATATTGCCCAGGCTGGTCTTCAACTCCTGGGCTCAAAAAATCTGCTCGCCTCGTTGGGATTACAGGTGTAAACCGCTACATCTAGCCAACAACTGGATTTTAATAGGCCTACTCATACCTGCATTTCGCAAGAGATTTATCAACCACACGAGAATACTTGTGAATGCTATTCAAGTGGCTAGGTCTGTTCTTCATATGTTAGGTAATGACTAAAATAATTTTACTATAATCTATAAATAAAATTGTGACCCACTATTTTAACATTCTCTTACTGAGAAGATAAATGGACTCTCTGAGGGTCCTATTAAATTTTATTCAGGATGATGGTCACCTACCGACTCCTACTCCTTGTCCTACTCCTGCTTCTAGTCCTATGCCTGTGTCTTGATCTTGAGCGGGAACGAGACCTGATCCGCCGTTTCCTTTCCCTGCTTCTGGATCTTGATTTCTTCCTCTCTCTGCTTCTGGATCGAGATTTCTTCCGCTCCCTACTCCTGGATCGAGACTTCTTCCGTTCTCTGCTTCTACTACGATGGCGTCTGAAATTAAAGTACACAAATTTGTAATTACTTAAGAGTTGTGCTGTTTCACTTATATCCATCATGAATTAGTTATCTGTAGTAACACAATTAAGACAAGCAAGTAACTGCACTGTATTATTTACAGAAATGAGACGTTTTCCAAGGAAATAAACTAAAAATGAACCCTTCATTTTGTTTGATAATTTGTCCTAGAACATATTAAAGCTATTAACATGTCAAAAGTGTTCAATGCATCTTACCAAATTTAAGCTTCCATTTAATACTCTTCCCGCAGTAGTTACAAAGCTTAATACTTGTTTATCTACTGAAAATTTTAGTCTGATACCACACACACCCCACAGCATTCTCCAAAAAATACCCCACCAAAAACCATTCACAAATTTGAGCTGTGATCCAGTTTCTCAAAAATCTTTTTATCTCTACTCCAACATCAAAAAAATCTAGATTGCAGTCTAGCAGCAAACACCTTCTACATCACATCAATGATGCAAAAGGACTGTTTAGTGGCTTAACCCACACAGTTTAACAATATGATTTTTTCAGTGCCAGACAGATTAAGTGGTTAAAAATCTCAGCTGGACAGAGTGACTCACTCCTGAAATTCCAGCACTTCAGGAGGCCCAAGGCTGGCCGGCACATTGCTTGAGCCCAAGAATTCGAGAACAGCCTCCACAACATGGCCGAAACCCGGCTCTACAAAAAATACGAAGAGATTAGCTGGCTGTGGTGGCGCATGTCTGTGGTCTCAGCTGCTCAGGAGGCTGAGGTCGGATCACTTGAGCCCTGGAGGCCAAGAGGCTGCAGTGTGCTGAAAGCATACCACTGCACTCTAGTTAGGGCAACACAGAGACCATCTCAAGAAAGAAAATCTAGGCCGGGTGTGGTGGCTCACACCTGTAATCCCAGCCCTTTGGGAGGCTGAGGTGGGTGGATCACCTGAGGTCAGGAATTTGAGACCAGCCTGGCCAGCAGGGTGAAACCTCATCTCTACTAAAAATACAAAAACTAGCCAGGCATGGTAGCACATGCCTGTAATCCCAGCTACTTGGGAGGCTGAGACAGGAGAATTGCTTGAACCCAGGAGGCAGAGGTTGCAGTGAGCTGAGATCATGCCACTGCACTCCAGCCTGGGCAATACAGCGAGACTCCGTCTAAAAAAAAAAAGAAAGAAATCTAGGCACTTAGTTGAGATTTAGTCATCCCTTATCCCCCATTTTTGGAAACCATTTTTGCATGACGAGAAAGCAAAGCCCAAAGCCCAAAGGAAAACAACAACGACAACAACACAAACCCAAACAAACGAACAAGAAAAACTCCCTAATTACGATTTTTTTTTGGGTGTTGCTGGGTTGATGAGAAACTTTACGTAACTCAAATCTTGTTAGAAGATACTAAATTATAATACAAAATGATTTACCTTTCACGAGACCTAGATCTTGAGTGACTTCTGCCTCTTGATGACTTTCTTTCTTTGCGTTTGTGCCTGTCCTCACCATTTTCAGATGAATTTAGTCGCTCTCTTCCTTTATCAGAAGAATGTTCTTTGTCATTATGTTCCTCAGACTTGTGTTTCTTAGAGGATTTATCTTTGGATTCATGTCTTCTTGCCTGTTTTAAGAAGAAGTTGGTTCTTTCAGGAAAATAGTGCAACAAAGAGAGTTAGTATGGGTATCAGTAGACAAAAAATGTTGTGATGCAACATTAGTAACCTTAGGAGTGTGTGGCAAATAAAAAAAAATGATCTAGTTTTACATCACCCAAATGTTGCAGATGTAATTACTAATTTTTTTTTTTTTACTATAAACACCCAAAATGTAGTTCCTCCCCAAAATATTTTCAATACTACAACAGAAACAATGATTTTTAAAGTTGAAATATTGAAAAGCCATTATGCCAGACAAAAGAGGAATCCCTTATGTTTATCTAAAAGAATACAGACCATGTATATACATCAACTTCTAAATCCAGAGTACATAATATTAAGTAATGGAGATAATGACACAAAAAGTGCACCAGAAACGCATTTCAATTAGTATAATTATTACTAAGTACTAATTATTTTCTATAATTTCAAATTATTTTACACAGAGATGCAGTGTCCCTTTTATAGTTATACTGCCCGCTACATCCTCTAAAAGATAGCTCTTGATTTTCCTCCCAATGTCTAAACTGTGAAGTAATCACTTTTCATCTTGCAGTATCCCAATAGTCTTGGAGTATTACATTTCGTGTACCTAGGGTAGAAATGGCAACTGTATGTTTTAATTTTAAAGAAACCAAACTAGGTATAACAATTAATCCACGTGCCACTACACAATACATACTGCCCCCATACTTTAAAAAGACCAAGGCCTTCACATGTGCATTCAGAGACTCAGCTAAAATTAACTACATAATCAAGTCTCATCCTACCAAATACCAAAGTAGAAGTGCTACATACTACAGTTCCCTACAGGAAGATCTGTCAAATTCATCTTGTAGCTAAAACTTAAAATCCTAGACATCTCTGAATCACTAAATTTTAAATCTGGAAGGAAACTCATATCCTCTAACTTAATCCCTTTATTTTATGAATAACTAAGATCTAAAGTTACAAAGCTACATGGGTGAGCTGAACCTATATCCCATGTTTTTCTGAAGCCCAGGCTACTACTTTTCCACCGTAATAAGACATTACTGTTTCCCAAAAGGCCATAGCATGTTTCTTTCCACTCACGATTAATGTTTCTTAAAAATAAAACTTGGCCAATCATTTTGGAACATGCATGATCATACAGCTGAAAATGATCATAGTATGTAATTTATTATTTGTAGAAAAATAAGAGACCTGGAGACACAACCAAATTTTAGTTTCATTGACAGTTCTCTATATGAGCTTAGAAAAGAAATTTTTCTTGGTTTTGCTATAAAGAGGCAGACTGGAAAAGTCTTAAGTGGTTAAACTTCTAAAGGTTTTAAAGTTTATTTCAAACCAGTTTTTCAAACATAACATTACTATTAATTTAAAAAAAAAAAACATTAAAACCCTTAACTGATTTAAGATATATTTAAGGGAAATAGGAGTTTGAATGACTAATAGTTACCTTATCATGAAGTAGGCTTATTATTTTGCTATCTGAGTCTGCAGCGTCTTCAGTTCAGTCTCTTCGCGCATTAGCACGCTGAGTATGATTTATTATAGAAATGTTATCATGTGAGCTAAACAAAATAGTCATTTTCACAAAAACTCTCCTAAATTAAAAATTTAACAGAGCTTCCATTAGGGGAAGAGGTGAAGTCCCTGCCCACACTTGTTTTAGGAGTCCCTTGCCCAGCCCCCACAACTCTTCTTCCTTTCTGGCTAATACTTCTACTCTTCCTTATTGGCTCATTCCTGTCTTCTCAGGTGGGTGAACAAGTAACTCCTCTACAATAGAGCTGTTGTCTTTCATTTTCCTCAAGTTTTGGTGTCACCGCCACCTTTTCAGCTGTCCCTCACTCAAACCTTTATTTCAAAATTCAATACTATTAGGGAAACTGAACTAGTTTGCAAAAGAAAAAACTCCTCTTATCATTCATAAAGAAAAAGCAGTCCATAGATATCTAGGGTATTGCTATGTAAAGATGATTGCTGTTTAAAAATCCTGAGCAACTCTCAGGCACCAGGAGACTCGGGACCTCGAATTAATGGAAGCTCTGTGTGACAGGCCTAAAAAAACCAATCATATTCTTCATATGAAATTTTTATTGTGAGTATTTTCACAATATAATAAAATTAAGGTTTTGAAGGTACTTTTCACATAAACATCTTCTTCAAAAATGATGAATAAAAGTCATGCTTATTTTATAACCCAATAAACCTTTTAAATTTCAAGTTTGGTACTTACCTTGACAAATGTCTTATATTCATACAAATCTTTCTACCAGACACTTTATAAGTATTTTAAAGTACCTATTCACTACAAAGTGTTAATTACCTCTTTGCTTCTGCTCCGGCTCCTGTGTTTTCTTCCTTCATTATCTGTGAATACACACAAAAATATTCACCATAAACAAAGTTGGAGAAACATCTCATCTCAAAAAACTCAACACTGGAGAGAAATCACTCCCATTAGTCTTCTTCCAATGACTAATTTTTTTATGGCACAGGTGGGATTATTCTACATTAATACAATACAAATGTGAAACAAATCAAGAAATCTGAGCAAACCAGGATATAAAGCAGCTTAGATACATCTTTTAAACAGTCATAGACTTTTAGTATTTTACATACATTCTGACCAGCCCATCTAGTTTCCGAGTCTATAGCAAATTCATAAGGGGGTTTAGTAGAGAGAGGTAAGCCATTAAGAAAAATAAAAACAGCCGGGCGCGGTGGCTCACGCCTGTAATCCTAGCACTTTGGGAGGCCGAGATGGGCGGATCACGAGGTCAGGAGATCGAGACCATCCTGGCTAACACGGTGAAACCCCGTCTCTACTAAAAAATACAAAAAACTAGCTGGGCAAGGTGGCGGGCGCCTGTAGTCCCACCTACACAGGAGGCTGAGGCAGGAGAATGGCATGAACCGGGGAGGTGGAGCTTGCAGTGAGCTGAGATCCCGCCACTGCACTCCAGCCTAGGCGACTGAGCGAGACTCCGTCTCAAAAAAAAAAAAAAAAAAAAGAAAAAGAAAAACGAAAGAAAATAAACAGGTTGAATTATATTTGATATGTTCCAACATGGCAAAACCCTGTCTCTACTAAAAATACAAAAATTAGATGGGCTTGGTGGCGCATGCCTGTAATCCCAGATACTCAGGAGGCTGAGGCTGGAGAATTGCTTGAAGCCAGGAGATGGAGGTTGCACTGGGCTGAGATTGTGTCAATTTTTGTATTTTTGCTCCCAGCCTCAGGTGATCTGCCTGCCTTGGCCTCCCAAAGTGCTGGGATTACAGGCTTGAGTCACTACGCCCGGCCAACAAACTAAACGTATGTCTTCTTATACAACAGGTCTACATATCTTATACAAATGCTCATATACCACCTCTAAGAACTCATACCTGACTTTCGTTTTCTTTCTCTTGACCTTGATCGTGATCTTGAATAATGATGTTTTGAAGCTCTAGGAGAAACAGATACATCTGACTGCTCTTTTTTCTTATCTCTATCTGGTGATGTCTTTTCTGGGGCTAGTCCATCTCGTTCTGTATCACTAGCCTAAAAGTTTAAAAACAAATGATTAAAGTTCTTAATTACATTTTAAATGTTTTCAATTTCTTAAAAGAGGGACAAAGGAAGGGAAGATAGTCCCAGTCCCCCTCATCAATAAATCAGAATGCCTGCTTTCCAAATAGCTAAATATGCTTTGTACACTAGCAAGCCTGAATGACTTGAAATGACGAACCTGATACTTAAGCGAGACCTACATATTTAGAGTGATGTAGCCTTAGTTTTCTAACGATTATTTTTATAACTTCTAAAACATGGGGTGGAGTAAGGGAGGAATAAGGGCTCTAAGTATTTCCAATAAGCATTCAAGCTGAGAAAATACAGTCCTTTTCAGATGTGTGAATGCATTTAACTGACTTTACCAATACTTTTAAATTAGCATACACATCAATCAAAAATGAGTTGTTAAAGCCTAAAGATACTCAAGACCATAAAATCTTAAAACAGAATGCCTTAAAAATATTATAAAATAATAAACAGAAAATTAACTTACCAAAGTGAGAACCTCATCTTAATGTCATAACCCTCTAATGAAAACAGCCCCTTGGCACAGTGCTGCTGGAAAATATGGTCTGCCTCTCCTCACATGTGCTCTGGGCTATGAAAACATTAAGTTGTTTCTGCTTTAAAGCATTTTGTAAGTAATTATTACAATATAAATTTTACAAGTTTCAACTAATGCGGAAGGTAGACAATGGTTGGCTATCTGACCAGAGAAGATAATATGAAAATAAAATAATTGATACACCTGGGGAATTGATTACTTAGGAAGGGTTGGCAAGCTATGGTCCTCATCCTGTTTCTGTATGGCCTTGAGCTAGGAATGGTTTTAACATTTTTTTTTAAAGTAGTTTAGGCATATTTAATAACTTCAGTAAATAGCACTGTAAAGAGTGAACTGTTAAAACTAAAAGCACTTACAAGGCCAGTGCTGTGGCTCATGCCTGTAATCCTAGCATTTTGGGAGGTTGAGGTGGGCGGACAACCTGAGGTCATGAGTTTAAGACCAGCCTAGCCAACATGGTAAAACCCCGCTTCTACTAAAAACACAAAAATTAGCTGAGTTTGGTGGGGTGTGCCTGTAATACCAGCTACTCAAGAGGTTGAGACAGGAAAATGGCTTGAACCCAGGAAGCAGAGGTTGAAGTGAGCTAAGATTGCACTACTGCCCCTCCAGTCTGGGAAAGAATGTGACAGAGACTGCACATGGCCCACAAAGCCAAAAATATTTACTATCCAGCCCTTTACAGAAACAGTTTATGGACTTTTCACAACATCAGAAGGAATCTGGATTGAATAAAGAGGGAATCGATATAGTCTTCAGCAGAAGGAATCACATTAGAGAACTTCCTCCTTTAGTCCAGAAAATGAATACCAAATATCAAGTACAATGAATGGGTGTATTGCATTTTAACAAATGAAGTTGTGAGAAGTCGGGTTACTTCAACAAGTATTTACTGAGGGTCAAAAATGTGCCAAAACCAATGCTAGACTTAGGGAATAAAACGATAAATTAAAAAAAGAAAGGTTTTACAGTTCAATTATGAGGTGAAAGACATAAATTACATGTTATTCCTCTAACAATGGTATAAAAAGAACAGTAAGAAATAAAAGAAAGTAACTACCAGGGAGGCTCTCATGCCAGCATATTGTATACGTACTTATTTCTCCAGTCTGGGTGACTTCTGGAATCACAAAATTTTTATGCCGAAAGGTTTTCATCTCTTATAATAATAGAGTTCAACTTTGTCGTTTCACAGATGAGATCCAGCAACATCAGCTGACTTGCTTAAAATGATACTGCATCTCCATCTCTTTACTGTCTTTATTACTAATAAATGATGCTGTATTATTAAGGACGATTCTGATTTTTCAAGTGAATAGCGGACATTTGGATTTTTTTCATCATTCTCCTTAAGGACTATTTCAGACTCATCTACTACTTGCTAAGTGTTTGTACAGCTTACACTTGGTAAACAGAAGGGATCTCAAAAATTTCAAGCACCGCTATCACTTCTCTCAGTGCATGACACTTTCTGTCAGAGACAGAATTCCTTAACTACTGGCAATCCCATTTACTTCTGCAGAGAACAAGACTAGAATCAAAAGCAACCTTTGCATGGAAAAGTTAGGCAATTTTCAGGCAACGGTTTATCTAACTTTATGCTTAACATCACAAAGCTAGGCAACAGAGAAAACTCCCTGTGACACAGGCTAACCTAAACTTACATCAACCATTTTCATCTGTAAAACAAGACTACGGAGCAACAACAAAAACCGTCTTAACACTAAACAGATAGGAATGACAGGTGGTCACTGAGGCCATGGAAAACTTTTATTTCCCTGAGGATATTTTATAGCAGCATAATGCAGGTATCCAGGAAAAAACCCACCAACTGAATATTAAAATTGCTCTGAAATTATCTAAGCTTTAATTTAGTACGAATCTATGTGTACACATAAACGTTAACTGCAAAACAGCCTTCTATTCCAGCACTGGCTCTACGAGGCAGCCACTTTGGTTTCTTACCATTTACATTTTGTTGCAAACTCTAATAACTGCACGAAACATAGTAGACAAATCTTTTTCCACTGCGAAGGATGTAAGCACTGGATTGAATACTAGGCCACTTCTCTAGGGGACTGTCTTTTTATTGAACAAGGCACAGCAGAAGTACATGTTTGAATTCACTTTTTAAAATACTGGAACCCGGCCGGGAGCGGTGGCTCACGCCTGTAATCCCAGCACTTTGGGAGGCCGAGACGGGTGGATCATCTGAGGTCAAGAGTTCGAGACCAGCCTGTCCGACATGGTGAAACCCCGTCTCTACTAAAAATACAAAAAAACCAGCCGGGTGTGGTGGTGGGCACCTGTAACCCCAGCTACTTGGGAGGCTGAGGCAGGAAAATCACTTGAACCCGGGAGGCGGATGTTGCAGTGAGCCAAGATCGCACCATTGCACTCCAGCCTGGACAAGAGCAAAACTCCGTCTCAAAAAAACACAAAAAAACCCTGCAACCCAATAAAAATAGTATTACTCTTTAAGTATACTGAGGCCCAAAACACTAAACAAATGAAAACAGTAAGTAAAAACAACGAGTCCAAACTCAATCAACTAGATATTGGAGGGGTAGGGAGAGGAAGAAAATCATCTGCCTAATAATACCAGGCATTCCAATTATCGGGAAGAGCAAACTTTAAAATTATCACTACGTTTAAGAGTCATAATTATTACCGAAAATGATATAATTTTTTAGTCAGTAAAAAGGAATGCAAAATATTTATATTTTCCTTTTAACGGAATAAAAAAAATAAGCATAAAATAATGTGGATCCGTCAGAATTGGGCATCTTACACACACGCAGGCTTATTGTTCAGAATAGGTAATTTACGAACGGCAGCTTCTCTTGGGTCAACGAAGGGTTTAAATTTAAAGAAGCAAGGTCAGTGACAAGACTTAACTATAATTCTTCTCGGACTTCAAATTGATGACATCACGGGCCACTTCGGAAACCGCGCATCAGTCAGAATTGGTAGTTCCACAACCTTTTAAGCTGAATTTTCACTCCCTTTCAGCAATACTTTCCTAGCTCGTTAATACACAATAATAAGGCTTACACTGACGAACACTAATTGAAATTTTACAACTAGAAACATCTCATTGACGGTACAAAAAAAAAAATCGCTACAAGTCGCTCTCTTCTGCCACACTATCCCTTAACAGACACCACCTTTTTGATCCAGTACTTCTCAGAGACCACTCCTGATCGTCTTTCTCTTTCCCAGCCCCTTTCTCCACTGCAAATTCTCAAGCCCTAAAAAAACTTAGCATAAATCACTAGCCAGGGTGAATAAGCGAAAATGGAGGAAGTTCAGCGGGGCAAAAGGAACGTAGGATTGGAGAAAAGAGGAGGAAAGTTCTGGAAAAAAAAGGCACTCCCTGCGGCTCCCCACCCCCATCAACACCGCCTTACTTCCCCCTCCCTACAGCAGGCAGCCATGATGGCGGGCGCAGAAGAAGGCCGCGGCGCCATTTTGTCCACACACACACACACGAACAAGGCTCTGGGAGCCGTTCACCCACTCCTTGGAATGTCGTAGAAAAATATCCCTGGCGTTAAACTCAGATTCGGTACCTACCGCCATAGTTCACAGTCCCGGCCGCTAGAGCGGCCCCTCCACTTGTCGCTTTCAACAGTACCGGCCGCTCCGAAGCTTCGCCTCAGACTCAATCGCTCGCGCGAGAGACCCGGATGGCACAAAGGCGAGGAGGCCCGGCGGGTCGCACAGCTTGCTGGGAGTAAAAAGGGCGGTAACAAGAGTTTCTATAACAACGCAATTCGAGGCGGTGATTGGGTGTTCTTTCAAAGGGGCGTGTAAGGACCATGAAGAGGGCGGGGCCAAGAATACAGCCTAGGAATGCGCAGTCGGGAGAACAAAACTGGCGGAACTCAGGGTGGGGCAACGTCCTATTTCGAGTTTAAAGTAATCTTGGTCTCGTCCGGCTGCCGTAAAGGGGTTGGGTTTAGTGTTCTCCCGCCAATTTAAACCTGTGGCATGGAACCTAAAGATTAGAGGCGGTTGTGTGAGTCAGGAAGAGGGGCCGGATACTTGATTGTTTCTCTTTAGTTTCTTCAATTGCAGGTGAGGACGGGGAGTTGCGCTGTGTAGGGAACTGGGGGTGGGTTCAGGACGAAGTAACTGCAGCCTCTCCTCAGTTCCTGTTTTTCCCTTTAACGCCGTCAGGAGAGAGGTTGGAGTCGGTTTTTGCGGGCGGCGGTGTCCAGCGGAGAGCGTTTAAGTACGGAGGCCTAACTGACAAGTGTTTCATCTTGCTCATTCTCTCCTGTTCGCGAATCTGTTCTGCATTCCGCCGCCAGAGTGATCTCAAAATTATCAAATCAGGCCACTCGTTTGCTGAGTTCCCCTCTACCCCTTGTACTGAGAATAAAATTCAATCTTGAAGTCGAGGTTTTTTGGGCTCCACTGCTCTCTCCCTCTGTCTTCTACTTTTGCTTTGACCCGGCAGCAGCATCAAACGCTTCCTACCCAGTCTCTGAGCCTTTGCACTCTGTTCCCTCTGTCTACGTCACGTTCCGCCTGAGTTTTGCGTGCTTGACTTCTTGTTATTCAGGTCTCAGCTCAGATATCACCTCCTTCCCTTCCCAAACAAATCCTCCTTCAGCGACGCCTCACCTCATCCATTTAATCACTGTTTCCTTCAAATCATTTAGCACTTTTTGCAATTATTTGTGCATTTGCTTTTTTTGTAGAGGTAGCGTAATAAGATGTGTATTAACTATTTTATTTTTGTCCGTTTTTCCCGCAAAAACATAAACTTCGTAATGGCAAAGACATTTTGTGCTTTGTTCAAGCTATACTGCCAGCTCCTGCAAAGGTGCCTGGCACATAGTAAATAGGTATTCAGTAAACATCTGTTTAACAAGTAAATGTGGCAGTTATGGGCGGTTTCTCTATTTCACAGATGTGGGAAATTGAGACCTATAAAGGTATTCATTCCAGCCTGTCCCTCCTTCTTCATCTCCTCACTCCCACCCAAACACCAGTCACTAAAACTGTTCTCTATTCTCCAAACATGTTTTGTTTCTGTTCCCTTGCTTATGCTCTTAGAAAGAACTCTTTCAACATTTATAAAACTATGATCTTCAATTCTCAGCCCAAGTGTTACCTGCTTCCACTAATAACAAATTAGCTAACACCTAAAATTGAATGTTTGCCATCAACCAAGCATTGTTCTGTGAACATTTAAAACTCAAAACATTGGGAGTCTGAAGCAGAAAGATTGCTTGAGCCCAGGAGATCAAGGCCAGCCAGGGCAAAATAATGAGACCCTTGTCTCTCAAAAAACCAGAAGTAAAAAATAGAAAACTCCTTCAGGTGGGTACAACTACGTTAGTCCCTTGGTATTAGTATCCACAGGAGATTGGTTCCGGGACCTCCCACAGATACCAAAACCCTGGGATGCTTAAGTCCCTGTCATAAAATGACGTAGTATTTGCATGTAGCCTGGGAACATCTGCCTGTATACTTTAAATCATCTCTAGACTACTTATCTTGCCTAACAATGTAAATGCGCTATGCCTGTAGGTGGAATCTAGGGATGTGGAACACATGGATATGGAGGGCCAACTATATGTATATATTTTTTCCAAGATGGAGTTTCACTCTTGTTGGCCAAGCTGGAGTGCAGTGGCACATCTCAACCTACTGCAACCTCCGCCTCCCGGGTTCAAGCAATTCTCCAGCCTCAGCCTCCTGAGTAGCTGGGATTACAGGCGCACACCACTACGCCCAGCTAATTTTTTGCATTTTTAGTAGAGAGGGGGTTTCGTCATGTTGGCCAGGCTGGTCTCAAACTCCTGACCTCAGGTGATCCACCCACCTAAACCTCCCGAAGTTCTGGGATTACAGGCATGAGCCACCATGCCTGGCCTGTATATTCTTATTTTATAAATTAGAGAATTGAGGAACAGAAAGATTAAGTGATCACCCAAGGACAACTGCCTAGTCATTGTGAAAGAGCACCAAGTCAGAAATTGTTTCTTCCTTGTGCTATACCTTTTATAGATATTAAAACATACTTCTAGTAGCACTTATGAAACCAATTGTAATTATTTGATTATCATTCCCTACCAGTCTTGATCCAAGGATTGTTTTTCTCCTTAGTGTTCTTTTCCCACCCAGACTCCAGGTAATATGGTTTATGTAAACCTTTAGTTTTTGAGATGGTTAAACCTCATAAGGTTTCAAGCTTAGTCTTTGGTCCAGAAACCTAATTCATTTTTTTCTCCTTCCCTAATCATTTTTATTTGTTGTATAATAATACTATGATAGCATTAATGGACTTTTTCTGAACTTCATCTGGAAACTTATCCTATGATATCCCAGACAATCTGGCAATTAAACCTACACTGTTTGCTGCTATACTGATTAAAGGTTTATTTCTAATGAAAACTTGGTATAATTCCAAACTAGACACACAAAAGTAATGGAAGCTCTAGGATACATTGGTAAGATCAGAATTGTTGGTCTGTGTGCATAAACCAATATGTTCTCTGGTAACCATGATAGCTCTAGTTCCATTTATGTTATTGACCCAAAGTGTTCAGTGGCCACAGCAATAACAAGAAGGCAAGGATGCCTGTATATGTTAATGTTAGACTTTTGTTTTTGTTTTGTGAGTAAGCTTTCTCATTTCCCAAGGAACCGGGTTCTATGCAACAAGATAATATGGTGTCTAATTTTATGTTGTTACAGGAAAGACAGTGGTTCCTGACTCAGGAAGACAGTCTCAGAAACATGTGGAATGATATTGAGCTGCTAACAAATGATGATACCGGAAGTGGGTACCTGAGTGTTGGTTCAAGAAAAGAACATGGAACTGCTTTATATCAAGTAGATATGCTAGTGAAGATCTCTTCTGAAAAGGTAGTGATTATTACAGTGACTGTTTCATTAACAGAATTTTTACTGGGTGCTTAGTAGGCCTAGTGGCCCACAGTAAATATTTTGTGAATGAATATAGCACTTCCTCAAGGAATCAAGATTCAATCTCAGATTGCTAGAAATTCACATCTGAATACCCTCTGCATCATGTTAGGATCAGTATTTTCACGACTGAAGGATTCTTAGTTCCTCTTGATATTTCATGCATACTAAATATGTGTAAGTTGACGCGAAGAGCATTTTTTTTTTTTTTTTTTTGAGACAGAGTCTTGCTCTGTCACCCAGGCTGGAGTGCAGTGGTATGATCACGGCTCACTGCGATCTCTGCCTCCCAAGATTCAAGTAATTCTTGTGCCTCAGCCTCCCGAGTAGCTGAGATTACAGATGTGCGCCACCATGCTCAGCTAATTTTTTGTATTTTTGTAGAGATGGGATTTCACCATATTGTCCAGGCTGGTCTTGAACTCCTGGCCTCAAGCAATCCACCCACCTCAGCCTCCCAAAGTGCTGGGATTACAGGTGTGAGCCACCGTGCCCAGCATACAAAGAATATCTACCACTAACGTAGGAAATAAAATGTTACCAGTAGAGTTAAAGGCTCTGAGGGTCCATCCCTGAATCTGTGTTCCTCCTGTTCCCTACCAGACTCAAGCACCCTGCTGAGTATGAGGTTTATCCATGCATTTCTTTCTACATTTTAACTTTCTTCTGTTAGTAATTGCACCATTCTTGCTCCATGCCTGAAACCTTACTCTTGGCTTGCATAGAAGGTACTATTAGGTGGGTGTGGTGGCACACACATGTAGTCCCAACTACTTGGGAGGCTGGTATTTAATTCTTTTTTTAATTAAAAAATTTTTTATTTTTACTCAAATGGATTCTGACAGATAATTCTCTTAATAAGAAAAAAACCTAGAGCAAAAGACAGGGCATCCACTGGGGATGTTATTCCTAAACAGAATGAAATTTATGCTTTTGACTTTTTTTTTTAAACTGGCTGATGGGATTTAAAAAAGAAATCATTCTTTGTGCTGCTTTAAGCTTGTGTCTGTTGAACTGTGCTGCCTTTTTTTTTTTTTTTTCATATACTTATCAACCATGTTTTTGAACATCTGCTATTGTTCTGAGCCCAGTATTAGGCACTTGGACATAAGATGGCATTTTATTCATTCCTTTTAGGATTCTTCGCCCTTAAAGTTAGGCACACAGGACCCAAACAATAAAAGATATTTAGCTGTGCAAGTCCAGTATATGCTAAATGCAAAATGAACAATACAGACAGTAAATGAGTAGGAATTCAATCGATGAGAGCTCATTTTGGGTTGGAGCAGTTT